AGTAAACAAAAAGCCATACCAGCATATATGCCAAACCTGCCTCAACATACAAACCTGAAGCTCAATCCAAGTCCATAACCAACAATAACCAAGCCTTACCTGCTAAGACCATCAAACATGCTAAACCAGTCAAAACCTATTCAAACTAATTCCAAAAACCATAAACCCTCAAACCTGCTGAGCCTCAAGAACCCAACCTGTCTGAAGAAAACAAACAAAAACTATCAAACACCTTAAACCTGTAAACCACGCCAGAACCACAACCTTGGCCTGAAACCATTTCCCTTAAACCATAAACCTACTGTCAAAACCATAAAAAGCATAAACCAGTCCCAGAAGCCAAAACCCCAGGTCTAAACCTGGCCTAAACCATTCAAAAACACTTACCATTCAAGCATTAAACCAGAACCAACCAACCTGATACCCTGTCAAACAAAATATACCAACAAACTGTCCAAGATGAAGAGCAAATCCAAGAAGGCCATTTACCTGTTGAAGCTCTAAACCAGTAAGCCTAAGCATAAACTGTCAAGTATCAGACCTGCCTAAGCATGAATCTGTAAAGGCCATAAACCATTCAAAAACACTCACACATACATCATTTTCAAGCAATCGAAAATCAAGGCAAGTGATCTAAAAAACCAAGTAACTAAGAGCCCATGGATAACCATGGATGAAAAGGGTGCTAATACCTTCCCTTTTCATAATCTACCCCCCGGACCCACGAAATATCTCAAAAGGTTTTTGCTGTGCTTTTTTAACCTTTCCTTTAGGATAAAATAAAAAGTTGGTGGCGACTCTTGCTCAACCGCACAAGTGCGAATACGAACGCAAAACTCCTAGTCAGTTCTCCCACCGTATCACATATGTGAATTAATTATGAAGGTTTTTAATGGATGTGAATTTTCGTTCTAAACTGTAATAGGTGACATGAGCTTACTAGCAAATAAATCAATTATGAAAACCATTCTGTTTTTGGCTCACTATTCAGGACCTACAATAGCCTTTAACTGTATGTATGTATGTATGTATAACTTGTGCTATCCTTTTATGTTTATTTTTTGGAGTAAATGAACTCTGATGAACACTCTTACTTGTTGTATCTTCTTTGGTGTTCAGTATCATATGGATAAATTTACAGCATACATAGTGAGTGTTATCAAACAAGGGGGTCCCATAATCTTATCCCAGGCAAGTATGTTTGTAAAATATCAATGAAATCTCGCACAAATAAAACAGTTTCAGCCACTTCTAGGTGTTGTCACTACTTAAACAATTTCAACTACTTACTTTATTCTAGGTGTTGTCACTACTTGCAAATTTTTGCATACATTAACAACCATTTTGATACTATAACATAATTAGAAAAATATAAATCAATAATATTGGTATATATGGTTACCTTTCCATGACATGGTAATTTCCAAAAGATAGACTTTTTCTTCCATGGACCAGGCCTTTTTTTATGATATTTTTGCCCCACTACGTCAGGAATCTTTTCTAAGTCTTTTAAAATCATTGTTGAATCTAACAAGGAGGGTGCAGACCTATATTCTGGCTTTCCATCAAAAGAACTTGAATTTGATCTCCAACTATGATTTGAATCCAAAAAGACTCGATTACCCATATAACACATCTTTCGACTATGTTTTAAGTATCTTGAAGAAGTTTTATGATTATAAGCAGGACAAGCAAACTTCCCTTTAGTACTCCAACCGAATAACATATCATATGCAGGGAAGTCATTCACAGTCCACATAAGAGCTGCACGCATTTGAAATGATTGATTTTTTGAAATATCATATGTTTCTACACCGACTTCCCACAATATCTTAAGCTCCTCAATAAGTGGCTGCAAATACACATCAATTTCATTTCCGAGTGACTTTGGTGCAGGAATAAGTAACGGCATCAAACAATTTTCAGCCTTCATGCACAAATTTGGCGGATAGTTATATACTGTTAATACAACAGGCCATGTGCTATGTGAAAGACTCATGGTCCTAAATGGATTAAACCCATCACTTGCCAACCCAAGTCTGATGTTACGAGTTTCACGAGCAAAATCTGAATGTTTGGCATCAAAGTCTTTCCATGCTTGGGCATCAGCTGGATGCCTTAACTTCCCATCCCTTGAACGATGGTCTACGTGCCACCTCAATGTATCAGCTGTCTTTGAACACATAAAAAGTCTTTTCAATCTTGGAATCAATGGAAAATGTCTTAGAACTTTGGCGGGAACCTTATGAGCTTTTATAGATTCTTCAAGATCATTAGCAACTTCAGGATATTCAATCCACCTTGACGTGCCACAAATATGACATGAATCATCTTTCTCGTGATCTTTCCAAAACAACATGCAGTTGTTCGGACATGCGTCAATCTTTTTATAGTCTAAGCCCAAATCTTTTATCATAGATTTTGTTTTATTGAAAGAGACAGGGATGTTATAATCTGGCATAGCCTCTTTTAACAACTCTACGAGAGCAGTGAATGATGCATTACTCCATCCATGGAGACATTTCAACAAATAAATTCGAATAGTGAATGATAACGAGGAAAACTTTTCACAACCAGGATACAACTCTTGATTTGCATCATCAACTAGTTTATAAAATTTCTTTGCATCTTCATTTATCCCTTCATGTACTCCACCTCCTTCAGCCACATCTTTAAATGTCTCAAATAGTAAGCCATCGATATCATCATGAGATGATGTTTCATCATCACTATCACCATCAAGATCTATAAGACTCTCATCTTCACCATGATAAATCCATTCAGTGTATCCCTTTACAAATCCTTTACTACATAAATGGTCATACACTACATCTCTTACTTCCCAACTATCATTGCAACATACAGAACAAGGACACAAAATCTGTTCTTCTTCAACCATTCCTTTGGTGAATGCAATATCCAAAAAGTAATTTACACCGTCCTTATAACTTTGACTATGTGGAGGTAACTCCACCCAATCCTTCTTTATCATGTTTGGTTTTATAAAATGAAATAAATTATACATTACTCTTTATCATATAAAGGATGGAAAAACACCATGGTTCATATATCAACGTAGCTTTTACAAATGCATAGTTATTATAAAAATTTCATTTATAATCTAAATATACACTAAACATGCATTCCAATACCAAACATAGAATAAATTGGTGAACTTTTAATCTAAACATGCACAAACATTTCATAGTCTAATATAATATGTATTTGTTGTTTCTTTTCAAACTATATAATATGTATCTGTTACCTGAATTCTTTCAACTTGATTCCAGCAGTAATAGAAACTAAAGTCTTGTCCTTAGTTACAAGCGACTTCGATTTCAACACAACTTCCTTCACTGCAACAACAACAACAAAGCTAGTAAATGAAACAGAGACGTTTCTTTCCCAAACAATGTTAAAACCGATGAAATATCTATTGAGGTTTAACCGAAACAACGACGGTGAATGATCTAAAGACAAATAATTAGAAAATTAGAAAATGAAATGCAATTACAATTACAAACTTATTAAACAAAATTGAACAAAGAACCAATATTGTAATAGTTATCTAATAAAGTGCCACCACGGAATAATATAGGTATTTACTCATCCAAAACTTAAATAGTAGAAAGTAATTTATCTAACTAATCATATAAAATTTAAAGGAATAGAATACCACCATGAATAAAACATACTGAGAGTTTTGTAAAACAATTATATATGCTGTTCAATTTAAAGGAGAGTTATCTAACTAATTATATATGCTGTCCAATTTAAAGGAGAGTTTCGTAAAACAATTATATATGCACATGGTGCTGTCCAATTATATATGCTGTCCAATAAAACATAATGAGAGTTAAAAAAATTATGCTGTCCAATTTAAAGGAGAGTTATCTAACTAATTATATATGCTGTCCAATTTAAAGGAGAGTTTCGTAAAACAATTATATATGCACATGGTGCTGTCCAATTATATATGCTGTCCAATAAAACATACTGAGAGTTAAAACAATTATGCTGTCCAATTATATATGCTGTCCAATTTAAAGGAGAGTTCTCTTGTGGCTAATAAATTTCATGCTAACAAAACAATGAGCATCGCTAATAGTAAAATCATAAAACAATTATGTTGTCCAATTATATATGCTGTCCAATAAAACATACTGAGAGTTAAAACAATTATGCTGTCCAATTTAAAGGAGAGTTCTCTTGTGGCTAATAAACTTCATGCTAACAAAACAATGAGCATCGCTCACAGTAAAATCGTAAAACAATTATGCTGTCCAATTATATATGCTATCCAATTTAAAGGAGAGTTCTCTTGTGGCTAATACATACACAATTATGCTGTCCAAACTAAACAACACCAAACCGTAAAACACCGTACAACAACACACATATACATGAACACCTTAACAGTGACAATTCAAAAGAAACTAAGCTAACATTGCGCGAACCGTATCATGCACGTAATAAAGTATCAACCAAAACAGAATGCAAGTAAATTGTGTGAAAAGCCACATGTGAAATGTACACAATTATGAGTTACAAAGATCAAGATCAAAATAAGAAACCTACTTGCACATCAGAAAAAAAACATTAACATGGGAGTACTGTAATATTTATATTGATTGAAATTGTGAAAGTGTTTATGTAATCTTTTCCATCATTTTCCATCAACCTTGTGAAAGAAATTGAATAGAATTTCGTCTGGTACTAATCTGCTACTACAATTGACAGAATATCTACCCAATATCCGTCATGTCCCTTTTACTAATCTGCTACTACAATTGCCATATACATATTCAAATAACAAAATAAATTTACTACTCCTAAAAAACAATTTCATGTAATTAATTTCAATTCAAGAAAAGGTAGTGCTACTACTAGTGGCACTTGGCAGTATGCTGCAAAAGATAATACTACTAGTCAACATCTTATATCAACAACAAATATGAAAATGCCCACACAAACTCAAACAACCATCAAAACACTCAGATTCAACTCAAACACAACGATACGAAATGGAGATCGAAATATAAATGCAGAAATACATACAAACACAGCGGACGACTTGGACGACATGGACGGCAGACGACGTGGACGAAAGTAGTTGGACGGCGAACGACGAACGGACGATGACGTGGACGACGAACACGGCGTGGAAGTTGGACGGAGTGACGAAGAACACGGCGGAGGGTGTGAATGAAAGAGGTTTGACTCGGAGCGGATGAAGGACGGAGCGTCTGAGAGCGCGGCTAGGTTCGGCGAAATGTGTGAACAAAAAAGAAGGAGAATCGAAAGCTGCTGCTTTTGTTTTCCTTATCTGTTTCTTTTTCTTTTTTTTTTATTTTCTATTCTTTTTAATAAGACGTGGCAATAATTGAGAGGACTAGTAATGAAAAATATTTTAAATTCCTGTGTTAGAAAATTTTTTATTTTCTGTTTAATGAAATTTTTTTTAATATATATATATATAAGTTTTAGAGAAATATTAATAATGTGTTAGAAAAATTCCTGTTTAATTGAAATATATATAAGTTTTAGACTAATATATATATATATATATATATATATATATATATATATATATATATATATATATATATATATATATATATATATATATATATATATATATATATATATATATATATATATATATAATTTTTTATTTTCTGTTTAATTGAAATTTTTTATTTTTAAATTCCTGTGTTAGAAAAATATTTTTTTTTATATATATTAATAATGTTTAGAGAAAAATATTTGTTTTTTAGTGTATAAGTTTTGGAGGGAAGATTGCCACCAAAAATTTGATAATCCTAAAAAAATTTATACAACATTTCAAAAATGTAGCCTTTTATTAGAACTAATGTAACAATCTAAAAATGTCCCCAAAAATATTTTAGGGGACAATTGTCAAACATTGCTAAAGAAATAATATTTTAACGCTCTAAAATCGTCCCCAAAAGCAGTTAAGGGCACAATTAACAACCATTGGCAAAAAAATAAAAGAGTATCGCTCCATAAACGTCCCCAAAAGTATTTTAGGCGACGATTATCAAGGGTTGCAAACATATTTTTGACAACAATCGTAAATCGTTGCCTATATGAATTTAAGGCAACAATTTCTACATGTTACCTAAAAAAGTGTTGCCAGAGACAAGAAATGTTGTAGTGAATTCAAGACAAAAATAAACATGAAAATGATACACTTGCATACAAACACCCATAGGGTTATTACACTTGGTTGCCTTATACAAAATGGCCATATTACGCATGTAAGGTATCTTAGCAAAAACAAGCGAATACAAGATCATAGTCCCTCGATGACGCTATCTAAGTTGCCTTTAAAATGATCTTAGTCCCTAAAAAAGAATGCTAAGATACCTTACAACATTGCTAATCATGGTTATACGATGATCCATGCCCGTCCCGTTTACATCCAAAGATAGGGTTACTTACCAAATCAATGGTAAGGCAACAATGTCAAAGGAAAAAGAAAATGAACAAGAAAGACTTTTGAGTAGGTAGAACGCTCCTAATTACTTGATAAATTTCAAACAAACATCCTTGCTATTTTCAAAACAATCACCTACACTTTCAAACATCTTACAAATTTTAAAACATTTTCAAAAGATCAAACATCTTTGTATACATTCTTACAAACAAGAATCATTATAAAGGTTGCCTAAACAATGGCCTCTTTTCAAAATACTTTCAAAAACCACACAAAGCACAATTTCAAAACAAAAGCAAGTGATCTAGCAAGTAACTAAGAGCCCATGGAAAATCATGGATGAAAAGGGTGCTAATACCTTCCCTTTTCATAATCTACCCCCTGAACTCAAGAAATAATCTCAAAGGTCTTTCCTGTGCTTTTTCACCTTTCCTTTTGGATAAGAGAAAAGTCGGTGGCGACTCTTGCTAATCGCAACATTTGCGATCAAATGCAAAACCCTCGTGTCAGTTCTCCCACCGTATCACATAATGTATTACTTGTTGCTCTCTATGTCGATGACCTTATTTTTTTAGGCAGTAATTATCAGATGATAGAAGAATTAAAGAGCACCATGACATGCGAATTCGAAATGACAGACTTAGGTCTGATGAAATTCTTTTTTAGTCTGGAGGTTTGATAAGAAGAAACTAGAATCTTTATTTCATAGAAAAAATATGCAAAAGAAATCTTGGAAAAATATAAGATGAAAAGCTGCAATCCAACTTCGACGCCAATTGAACCAGGTGCAAAATTATCGAAATTTGATGGAGGAGAACGTGTCGAAGTAAGCAAATATCGAAGCTTGGTAGGTAGTCATCGATATCTCACATGCACAAGGTCGGACATTTCATTAAGTGTCGGCATTGTAAGTCGATTCATTGAGGAGTCAGTACATTCACATTGGAAGGCATTGAAACGAATCCAAAGGTACATCCAAGGAACAATGTCATTTGGAATGTTCTATTCAAGAACAGAAGACTAGAAGTTAGTTGGTTACTCTGACAGTGATTGGTGCAGAGATAAAGACGATCGAAAAAGCACTTATGGATACGTGTTTTTCATGGGAAACACCGCATTTACTTGGCTTTCCATTTACAATAGACACTTAATCTTGTTTTTCATGGACTACAAGTGTAATGATGATTTTTTAACAAAGATGAATTCTAATTTTTAAAGTTGGGTAAAAGCACAATAAATGACAAAACTTAAAAAAAACATTATTACATGTACAGAGTTAGATTTAAACCCATAACTTCATACTAAGCCGAAGAGAACTTACTGTTAGAAAGAGGAAACAAATACTTTTTAGACTTAAAAATTTCTACTATTTTAGGAAAGAAAATAATATTAGTAAATACTATTATAAGCCATTATCTCTTGACCTTCAATTTACAATAGACTCTTAATCTTTCCAATAACTTATTAATAGAAATCCACTAACTATAACATTTAAAGTTTATTCAATAAAACTCCTCTGTAAACTTAAATGTTTCTTCTATCAATCATACCTATCAATTTCTTTCCTCCGTCGAAAATTTCTTTCGATAATGGTTTTGTGAAAATATCTGCTGCTTGATCTTTGCTTGCTACATGCCTCAATTCAACACTTCCTTCCTTCACATGTTCTCGAATGAAGTGGAAGCGAACGTAAATGTGTTTGCTTCTTTCATGGTTTATTGGATTCTTTGCTAACTCAATTGTTGATTTGTTGTCCACTTGGATTACAGTTGCACCTTCCTGTTTTAGCTCTATTTTACTCATCAATCTTCTAAGCCATATGACAAACGCACCAAGATGTTGCTACATATTCATCCTCAATGTCGAAAGTGTTACTATCGGTTTATTTTTAGAGAGACAAGTAAATCTGGTATTTCCCATGAAGAACACACATCCAAAAGTGCTTTTTCGATTGTCTATATCTCTGCACCAATTACTATCAGAGTAACCAACCAACTTGTAGTTTTGTGTTCTTGAATAAAAAATTCCAAGTGACAATGTTCGTTGGATGTACCTTAAGATTCATTTAAATTCCTTCCAATGTGAATATATTGGCTCATCCATGAATCGACTTACAATGCCGACACTTAATGAAATATTTGGCCTTCTACATGTGAGATAGCGAAGGCTACCTACCAAGCTTCGATATTTTCTTACTTCGACATGTTCTCCTTGTAATACTCCAAATTTGTCCTACCCTTTCAGTTTTATCTGGTTATACATTTTTCACTTCTCATTTCATCTACATATCTTCCATTAGGTCATTTTGCACTGCATACATCAGTAACCATGAGATTAAGGTACTCATTTCTGGGAGCTATTGCAAAGAAATCAGATATTTTCCCGGATGTGTGATACTGTGAACCAACAACGATGTTTCGGTGGTTTAAACTCAGGATTCACAACTTGCAACCAGAGTATTTTCTTGTGCTAATTATTCAAGCATCAAAATCACCTTGTATTGGAACTTTGACCGATTATTTGTTTCCCCGGTGTGCGGAAGTTTATAACTTGCATCTGGTTCAATATATTCAGTTGATTCTCCAAGCATTGAGAACTTCTCGATTCCCTTATCACTTATCATGTTCAAATCAAAGGTTAATTCTATGAAGAATACATCCAAGAACTTTAATATTTTGAAGACGGTAAACTGAATTAATTGTTGATTCACTGTCTTGCAGATATTCAAAAACTTGTAACTCCGACTTGGTTTGTCGCCTTGGTTTGGTTCTTACATTAAAATAATCATCTTTATGTGTGATTCATTTTGTATTTTTGGGACGAGAGAAAATTCCCCAAGGAAAGTCTCTGAAGATGCGGATCTTCTGAAGGCGTTCACTGAAGAACAGTGGAAAAAGTGTGCTGAAGACGCAGTTTTTAGATGCTAAAAATTCCATAACTCGAAGCCCGTTGCTCATTTCAGACCCGTTCTTTTTTCCAAAATTCCGTCTTGGCGTCATATAAATTTCATATTTTATGATCGAACACTGATTCTGTAAGGAGAGGGCCGAGAATTTTGTGTTATCAAAGAAATTTTGGTGCTGAACCGAATCTCGGTTACACTGTTTTACGATATTGTAAAAATTGTAACTCGGTCGATTTTTATTGTATCGAGCCCGTTCGAATGGAATTGTCTCACAAGTTGAGCGAGCTATATTTTGGTTTCAGGTTCCAAGCGTAAACGGTACTTCAAAAGCTTTCGTTTTTGACCAAAGTCGCACGGAACGCACTAAAAATTCTGAATCGGGGATTAAAGTTGTCTGAGGCGAAACTTCGGAAAATCATAACTTTCTCATCGTTTACCCGATTGAGCCCATCTTCGGACACGAGGTCGTTCTCAACCTTGGATACATTTTTGTTACACGTTTCAACTTCTTAAATCGCACCTAGGTTTCTGCGAACTTTCTCGGAGCGTGTCGCACTCAAGTGGTTCAAAAATTTGCACTTTAGCTTGTGGTTATTTGAGGCCCATTAACCAAATCCATTCACATGATTCCACATTATATCTTCATTTTGACTCCAATTTTCTAAAGATAGACTCATAATCCACAAAAATTCTCATAAACACTCTAAACTTTCCTCTCAATTCTCTCAAAGATCAAATCAAGGTTCTACATCTTTTTCATCAAGAACACAACAACAATTTCATCAAGATCCAAAAGTCAAGATCAAGAACAATTCTTCTTCGATTATTGATCCGTAAATTGAAATCTCTATATCTAAGCCTCCTCTTCACTTCTATCGGTGAGTTTTCTCGAATTAAGTACTTTTGAAATAAGTGATTATTTGAGAAGCACTTTTTTGATCAAGCGTGATTTAGATTTAGGTTGAATTTTGAGTTGAGAATGTAAATCTAATCCTAGGATTGTAATTTGATTTGATAATCATGTGTAAATCCGGATTTGGATAGTTGAATTAAGTGTTTATTGAATTAAGTTGATTTACATAAACGTGCTTAATTGTTGAAATAAATTGATGATGTTGCATGAAGCTTAATTGTTGATCCTTAATCCATCATGTGTAATATGAATCTAAACCTTGAACCATGCAAAATCATGTGTTAAATATGTGGAGATTTTGTGTTTGATCAAATGCCTAAGCCATGAGCCAAATCTCAAAAATCTGTTAAAACTGTTGTTCTGCCTGGGTAACGGGTTGCCCAAATATGGTAACCGGTTACCAACCATTCCTTCACAAAAATTTTCAAAACTGTCTCGTGGTAACCGGTTACCCAGTTATGGTAACCGGTTACCCCAAGTCAGAAGAAAATGGCCAAAATCTTTAAAGTTTTGGTAACCGGTTACCTAGTTATGATAACCGATTACCCCAAGTCAATAGCCAATTTCTAGAATTTTCAAAGTCTGTGTAACGGGTTACCCAGTTATGGTAACCTGTTACCCAAGCAGAAACAACAATTTTTGCCTTTTTTCATTGCATTTTCTCTTTTGGTTTAAATTCCTTGTTACTTTTAACTCGTTTGTTGACTTGTGCAAGGTACA